GTAGATTCATATGTATTTTAAGAAATAATAGAGACAGCCCTAGCCAGTTTGGCTCAGCGGTTAGAGCACTGGCCCATGGACTGAAGGGTCCCAGGTTCAATTCTGGCCAAGGGCACATACCTTGGTTGCAGGCTTGATCTCCTGCCCTGGTCAGGGAGCATGTGGGAGGCAACCAGTCTATGTGTCTCTCTCACGTCGGTGTTTTCTATCTTTCTCCTTCCCTCCCTTCCACTCTCTCTGAAAAAGCAATGGAAAAAAGATCCTCAGGTGAGGATTAAAAAAGTAAAAGAAAAAAATAGAGACAGATTCTGTCTACCCTTTATCCAGTTTACTCCAATGGTAACATCTTGCAAAACTACAGTACACTATCACAATCAGGCTATTGACATCGATACATTTAAGATACAGAACATTGTCATTACCATAAGAATGCTTCCTCTTATCCCATTTAAAAAATAATTTTAGGACAATTTTAGGTTCACAGAAAAATTGAACAAAAGGTACAGAAATTTCCCATATACTCCCTCTACATGTACATGAGAAGTCTCCCCCATTATCAGTGGCCACCTCCCCCTTGTCCAGCAGTAATATATTTGTTACAACTAATGAACCTACATTGACATATAATAATCATTCAATGTCTATAGTTTACATTAGGGTTCACTGTTGTTATACCTTCCACTGGTTTGGATAAATGTATAATGACATATATCCATCATTATGGTATAACAGAGTATTTTCACTATCCTAAAAATTCTCTATGTTCTCCCTGTTCATCCTTCTCCCCCATCCTGCTCTGGCATCCACTTTTTATTATAAAAATAATTTTGCCTTTTCCAGAGTGTCATATAATTGGGATCATACAACATATAGCTTTTTTAGATTGGCTTCGTTCACTTAGTAACCTTCATTTAAGGTTCCTCCATATCTTTTCATGGTTTGATAGCTCATTTCTTTTTAGTGCTGAAAAACATTCCATTGTCTGAATGTATCATAGTTTATTCAGTCACCTGCTAAAGGATATACTCTTATCAAATGGTAACTTGGCCACACCTTTAATATTTTTTTCTGACCATGCTTTCTCATTTTTTACAACTTAGATGAGAATTTACTGAATCTTTAGTTTCTGTTTTCTTTTTGCTTAAAAATTTTATCTTTGAGTCATTTCTGTTTTTTCGCTTTGTACTATAAGCAGTCAGGAGGAACCAATGTGTTGCTTAGAAAATCCAGTTTCATCACTTGAAAGTTCTACATTCCACAAAATACTAGAATATGACCACAGTTCAGCCAAGTTTTTCACCACTTTATAACAAGGATAACCTTTCCTCCAGTTTTCAAGAACATTTTCCTCATTTCCACCTGAGACCGCATTAAAATGATCTTTGCAATTATATATTTCTACCAACATTCCATTCAGACTGACTTAGGGGAGGTGGATGCAGTGTGGAGAGGATCAATGAGGGAAAAAGAAGGGGACAGATGTAATACTTTCAACAATAAAGATAAATTTTAAAAAAGAAGACTAAGGCTCTTTCTACAGAGCTCCTCTTTTCTTTCTGAGCTCTCACCAGAATTCCCTTTAATGGTTTGTTCATGGAAATGTAGAATTTTTTATTATGTACCTCAAAACTCTTCCAGTCTCTATGTATTACCCAGCTCTAAAGATGCTGCCACATTTGTAGACTATATATATATATAGTTAATTTTTAATCCTCACCTGAGAATATTTTTTCCATTGATTTTCAGAGAGAGTGGAAGGGAGTTGGGGGGGGGTGTGTGCAGGGGAAGAGACACATTGACTGGTTGCCTTCCATAGGCACCCCAACTGGGGCTGGGTATGGAGCCTGCACCTGAGGTACATGCCCTTGGCTGGAGTTGAACCCTGGGGACCATTCATTCCGAGGGCTGACGCTCTTAACTATTGAGCCAATCCAGCCAGGGCACATTTGCAGGTACATTTTACAACAGTACCCCTCTTCTCAGTACCATTTCTTAGTCTATTCAGGTTGCTATAACAGAATACCATAGACTGGGTGACTTAAACAACAAACATTTATTTCTTAGAGTTGTCAAGGCTAAGAGGTTCAAGATCAAGGCACTGGTGGATTCGGTATCTGGTGGAGACCTACTTCCTACACAGATGGCTGTGTTCTTGCTCCTAATACATCACACTGGGATTGGGATTTCAACATATGAATTTTGAGGGGACAGAAACATTTCCGTCTACAGCACAATGTAGTATTTTTTAGAAAGTTCCTATTAAAAATATATTTATTAAATAAACACTGAAGTAGTAAAACAGGAAACAAATATGTATTTAAAGTACTCATAATCTTACCTTTATTTCTATAGATCTATTGGGTGATCTTTAGTCTAATTGTATTCTGGTGGCTTAGCTATTATTCAGTATTCACTTTCCTGTGATCGTTAATTGGTTATCGCTGCTTAAGTTTTTAAGAATTATATGTTGGTAAAGATGTATTTCATGGTATGGTTTAAACTTAAGGAAGAAACAGGTGTTTCATCATTAATTAAAAGGAAATGAACACCCCACCCCCCAAAAATGTAATTTGTTGACATGTCACTAATCCCCAAGTTTGAAAACCTTTCTTTACATTATAACTGTCAATACACACTGTTACTTCATATTACTTATGCACTCCCCAACTTCCTCTTCCGCTGCAAAAAAGAGAACAAACAAGCAACCTGTGTACCTTCATAGTTATCAGTGGTTTATTGAGACATCACTCAAAATCTTGTCTCTCACTCACAGCTCTATTTCAGATTATTTTTTGGTAGTTTGAGAAACACTAATGCCTTATGTTTAACATTAACTTTACTTTTCCCTGTGAACAAGGGAAAATAGATGTTCAAAATAGTGCATGTGATATCTTCTTAGTAGCATTCTTTACCAAATCAAGCAAACAAGTAAATAGGATAAAACTCTGTTATAGTATTTTTCTTGCAATCCATTTTAGCCACAATTCTACTACATGGAAGAAATCATTTGATTCATTAACAATTTAGAGCCATTTATTAATTGCCCGATATTACTCAGATATCATGTTAGCCCTAATAGGAAGAATAAAAAACATACAATCTACCAGCTCCACTCTACCAGTACTGTACAACTTTCTATGATGATGGAAATGTTCTCCATCTACATTGTCTAATATAACAGCCAGTGGCCACATGTGGCTATTGAATGCTTGGCATGTAGCTAGTGTGTCTGTGGAATTGAACTATTAATTTAATTTTTTAAATTCACAGTTTCATTGGGAAATAGTTCATATACCATATATTTCACCCAGTTAAGGTATAGAATTCAGTGGCTTATAGTGTATTCACAGTTTTGCAGCCATTATCATAATCAATTTTAGTACTTTCCATCACCTCAACAAGAAACCCAATATTAATTAGCAGTAGCTTGCCAAATTTCTACAACTTCCTTAGCCCTAGACAGCATTAACCATTCTGTCTCCACAGATGTGACTGTTTTGGACTTTTCATGTAAATGAAATCACATATGTAATATTTTGTGACTAATTTAATTTTAGTTTATTTAAATTCAATAGCCACATGTGGCTAGTAGCTACCAAAAGAAGTGAACTAAAAGACCAAGTGCAGATGCTTGAGTAATGCTGAAGANGTTTATTTAAATTCAATAGCCACATGTGGCTAGTAGCTACCAAAAGAAGTAAGTGAACTAAAAGACCAAGTGCAGATGCTTGAGTAATGCTGAAGATTGAGGAGAAGATAATCCTGCAAAAAAGGTCAGAGAGATTGGAGATGAACCCAGACAGAGCTTAGAGATGACAGGTTCCTGGGAGATGGGATAGTTCACAGTACTAAATAATAAAGAGGCATCAGAGTGGTTGGTGAAGAAGTATAGGCATGTGGCACTTTTATATCATTTAGAGTTGGACGAAAGGAAATTTCAAGATCACTTGAGAGGGGTGTCAGGATTGATGGAAATTTTGTTTTGTTTCTGTTAATATTTTTAGTGCAGGCAATACCCTATATGTAGGCGGAAGACAAGGATCCAGTGGAAGTAAAGAGATTCAAGATGTTTGAGTAGGGTTCAGGAAGATGTTAGTTAAGGTAGTAACAAGGTCATTAGCATAAGAGTAAGCCCTAAAGAAGATAGATGTGTCTCAGAGGCAGGAATAAATGAAGAAAAAGTAGGCAAAGATACAGAGCACCTTTTACATAAAAAAGAAGGAAACTAGAATTTATTTACTTAAGGAAAGTGGAAACAAGTCTTTCTGAGGGTAAAGTTTGGTTCCTGCAAACTACTGTGATCAAATGTGGAGTAGAGAATGCTGAGAAGTTCTCCAGAGGTGCTAGGACCATGGAACATGGGAATGTCAATTACTAAAAGATCTTGCTGTCCAAATGAATGGTGTCTCCAAAAAGAAATAGACATTTTCAGGTAGATAAGTCACACAAAGTCCAGGATCCAGATATGTCCATTTTCACTTACTAAAGGGTGAAAATTGTGTAAAAGTTTACATCTGAGGTTTTAAAAAATGAAATGTAGCTCCATCAGTGCACTCACCCATCCTATTTCCCTTCTTTTTTCCTTCCTTACTGTTTTCTCTTTTCCCATCTGTTCTTACAGTTTGTATAATACAAGTACCTTCTTGCTTTGCCCTGCAAGAAAAAAATGGAAATAAAACACAAAACTGGGAAAATTCAACATTAATCCATATGGTAATGAATTCAGAATTTCATGTTATGAGTTATAATAAAATTCCAGTATTTTCACTTTTCTAAATTATCCCCCCCCAATTATATAACAGTGGAATAAAGTACTTTGAAAATCCCAAATGAAAGCTGCTATGCAAATATAAGTGAAAAAAATTCTAATTAGTTGATACTGACTTAATAACATTGCTTTAGAGGAAACTTTTTACATAAAAGTTTTAGAAATTAAACCCAACTTTTGTGGTATTCTCAATATATAAATTATATTTTTATGTATGTATTTTTTATTTTAGGCTTTTAAAACCAAGGATGGTTATCTTGTAGCTGGAGCAGGAAACAACCAACAGTTTGCTACCATGTGCAAGGTAATTTATAATCATTGGGATGGGTGAATTATATACGCAACAACTCGTTTAGTTAAAAGCCAGGAAGGCTTAATTTTGCCTAGAACAGTGTTGCTAAGCATATAAGCAACTCAAGAACCTCCTGTGTTAGTGTGTGCCATTTTCATATTTACAAATGCCAAGTACAGGTTCTGAATCAGCACTCTGACTGTATTATTATTATTTTGAGGTGTCTGGCTGTATTTTGAAATGAAGAATCATAGTAACTTAAATTATTCTAAAACCTGACCTGTCTGCCAGTCCAAGCAAAAAGGAAACAAACAACAACAACAACAACAAATAAAGGGATCTTTAACACTAGTTTTTTCTCTCTCCCCTCCTTCTCTTCCCTCCCTTCTTCCCTCCTTCCTTCCTTCCTACTTTTCCTTCCTTCCTCCCACAACATGAGATCTAATTAGGCCCAAATATAATCTACTACCAAATTTATTTTATTTATCACTAGAAAATTTTTAAATGATTTAAAGTTAGCTTTTGTTTAATGAGTACCTTTCTGCAAAATTTATGTTTTAATACTTTAGCAAATAAGGTTATATCAAAAATGTTGCTCCTCAACAAGGACTTAAAAAAGGGCCTTGGGATTATTTAAAATAATTTCATGTTGAAGATACTCTTATTTTTAAGCATTGCTTGGACATTTTTAAAAAATCTGATGTTTTTGCACCTAGACTCTTTTTGATCTTTTGTTTTTATTTAAGGGCTTAGGTTTCAGTTTACTTTTCCAGTTGTAAGACCAGGAATATAATCTAGTTTTTAAAATATATTGTGTGTGTTTTTTTCTTGCATGTAGACAAAGGCCTCACCTACTGAGGATGTTTGTACTAACCATAATACCATGAGCTTTGTTTTATTAAAGATGCTTGTGAGTTCCTTATAAGAACTTTATTTGTTGTGGTTAACTTGTTATGTACAAAAATTATTTATTACTGTGCCTCTTTTGTATGAGAGGTTAAGGAGCAGAGCTAAAAACCACAGCAAAGGGGTGGGAAGTACCACAGAGAAGGTGACAAATGGAGATAGTTCTGATTGGAGGAAGGGCTGGAACATCTGAGGTGGGAAAGAGGGGAGCTTTTATAATGGTTTCTCTGAATAAGTGTAGAGAAAATTGATTCAAACATTTGATCTGGGATCAAAGAATCTTTACTTGAACGGTCAATGTTAAAAATATAGAACATACGGAAGCTGTTGTCTATGAAGTCATTTGTGTACAGTACTCTAGCTCCAGAGATGTAAAAGCCACTTCATTGCTATAAATGAGTACAGATTTTCTTCCTGGGCCATATGTTTTGGAGTTTTCTATCTTCAGAAAAGGTGGGGGAAGAGGGAAGAGAAATTACTGGTTGACATATTCTTTAGTGTTGAAAATAACTGTGCTGAATTCTTTTTATTTTTGATTCATTACTGCTGATTAATTTGAAACTTTTGAACTTCCTCATAAATATCCATAAGAACATTTTTGAAAAAAGATTTTTATTTCAAAGCAGAATATTTGCCATAAGTCTAGTACTAAAATATGAGTTATTGTTGCATGTTATGACACATTGTTTAAGAAAAGACTTTCAGACGACTTTGGAGAATGGCATACTGACCTTGTTTTTTCCATATGTGAGTGAGGAATATTATGAGCCATTAAGACAATATCTATAAAATTCTGAGATCCTCAGAAAAAAATTGTGTCTATGATTTTAATGTTATTTACATCATTTACTAGGCATTTTGAGCAAACATTGAAATCCAATTGGTGTTTTCAACCATCATATTATATCCTTACATGTAAACTTGTCCAAAAAACCTTTTCACCTAAGAAATATCACCTGTGTACTTATTTTTCTTTATTATTTTTTTAAATTGTCACCTGAGGATATGTTTTTATTGATTCTAGAAAGAGAAGAAGGGAGAGGGAGATAAAGAAACATCGATGTGAGAGAGGAACATCAATGGGTTGCCTCCCATACGCGCCCCAACTGGAGATAGAACCCGCAACCTGGTATGTGCCTTGACCAGGAATTGATCCCACAACCCTTTGGTGCATGGAGCAACGCTCCAACCAACTGAGCCATACCAGCCAAGGCACCTGTTTCCTTATTTTGATGCAAGATTCTCCCTCTCCTGACTGTAGTGAGTTTCTTCTAAGTATTTTTTATTCATATTTATCTCATACTGAGAGATTTGTCATTCACGCTGGCCTTATAGAAGATGAGATCCCCTGTTTTTGACAGTGAGCCCATCAAGACTGTTCTTTTTCCAAGTAAGGTCCACTTTCAAATATAAGACCACTCTACTTCCCTACCTTCTGAGGAGAAATGTAGCAATCTGTCTGCCACAATGAGTAGAATTCACTGAGGCCTAATCTCTTCCCAAAAGAGAATTTGACATATTTGTTAACTAATACTTCTTGGAGAGGTTCTTAGTAGGGAATCTCTTATTGTCAAGGATTAGAGTGAGGGCAAGAGCATTGGGTTAAAGGTTTGGGATTGAGAATATCTTCCTGCATATAAAGTGAACCTTGCTTTATAACAAATCCTATTTTATGTCCGTTAACATGATACAGAAATGTAGGGAATGTGAGCATATGTAAGCTATTTTAAGCTGATTGATGCCAACACTAATGGGTATTCCTATTTGAAGAATATTGACATCTTTTCAAAAGTCATTTGGACTTAAAGTTGTTTTTTAATTGGAGGCAATATGCATTGGCTCTCAACTTCAGCATGCATAGAAAATGTCCGTTCTCAATGATTTTGACTTAGTATGTCTGAGACAGGGAACAGGAAACTTCAATTTTAATAATCATTGTAGTTTAATTTGAATCAAGAGATCTGTGGACATTATAACAATTCTAAGGCATTCTGTTTGCCTTGAAACTAGTCAGATGACCTTTGGCAGGGTACATAATCTTTGCTAAACATCTGTGTACCCATGATTAAAGGAAGATTATAATACATAACTATAGTAATATATAACTTTTGGGCTTTTGTATGAAAATAGATAAGTGAAATACTTAGTACAGCCATATGCCCTTAAAAATGGACTTTATAAAAATTAGGTATGGAGATTCTGGTTCCTCATATCCTCCATGGAACATAGAGATAAAATCTGGAGTGAATACATGGAACATCTATAAGAGGACTCTGAAAAGAAAGCAGTAGCAGAATTGGGGAAGAACACCAGAATTTGAAGTACCTCTAAACTGGCAAGAAGTTTACAAGTTTTTCCCTCCAGTGTGAAAATGGACAGAGTGAAACCTGGAAGTGGGCACCAGGGAAAAGAGTTGAGCTCCAGGAACTGCTCTGCATTCTGGGCTTGAGGAGCATGAAAGTGAACTCTAATGTCAGAGAGAGTTTAGAAATCTGCCATTTTTTTCTCCTTTCCATTTTCTCAAACCCCAACTCCCAAGCATTCCTGTAGTGGTAGTAGTAGATGAACAGAAGCCAAGACTCAGAAGAAGGGAACCTTTTTTCTTCATCACTGAGCAGTGACCCCAAAATAGAGGAGTGAATGCTTGTTCTCTGGCCTCCCACTTGGCCTGTGCCCTGAAAGTGAGGCAACCGAAGGGGAGCTTCAGGGAATTGAGAAGAGATTGCAGAGAGGGAAGAGCTTTGGATGGCAATCCTTTAAGTTATTTGTGAAGTCCTGCACTCATCCTTGAGCTATGTATACACTGATCTGATCCTAATCAACACACCAAAGATGTTGAGAACTTAGTTAACAGACTACTGCCCAGGCTGCAGCTTGACCATTAAGTGGGACACATGTGGTACAGTTTGAGTAAAACTTCAGAGGCTTTGAAAACTGAACCAACACTAGAACCAAAGCATACCAAAGGTCAGTTGGAACTTGCAGCCTGGACCTAACCAGGTGAACTGCTTACAGAAAACAAGAATAACAAAATTTTTCTGTAGGATTTAAATAAGACCCAGAGACTTGTAATGTATTATTCAAAAAGTCCAGGACACCATTCAAAATTACTTAGTATACGAAGAACCAGAACTTGCACGAGAAAAGACAATCAATAAATGTCAATGACAAAATGATACAGATGTTGGAATTAATTTGCAAAAACTTTAAAATAGCCCTGCCAGTGTGGCTCAGTGGTTGAGCATTAACCTATGATCCAGGAGATGGGAGTTTGATTCCTGGTCAGGGCACATGCCTGGCTTGCAGGCTCGAACCCCAGGGTGGGTCATGCAGGAGGCAGCTGATCAATGACTCTCTCATCATTGATGTTCCTATCTCTCTCTCTCCTTCTCCCTTCCTCTTTCTGAAATCAATAAAGACATATTTTAAAAAAAGAAAAGGAAAGGAAAAAAAACCCAAATTTAAAATAGCTATTATAAAAATGCTTCAACAAGCATCAGAGTCACTGTTGATATAAATGAAAAAGTAGGTGATCTGTCGCAAGATGGCAGTATAGGAAAACCCTGAACTCACCTTCTCCCGTAAACACATCGAATCCACACTTATAGACAGAGAAATCCCCACTGAAGAACTGGGCTGATGGAACACCTTCTGCATAGCAAATGAGAGAGAGATGACATACAAAAAGTTTTGGAAAGACACAGGTAACATGGGAAACCCACCCCCAATGCAGTGACTGGCAATAGGGAGGGATCACTGAAGGGCCCACACACAGACTTGTCCAGTCTGGGGCACAGCAAAAAAAAACAGTGGTTTAGAAGGCACCTAGATTATATGGGAAGCAAATTCATATACTAACCCTAGAACATTTGCCAAACAGGAAGGGAACTGTGGGAACTGTCTCTGATGTCAGCGGCACTGAAGACCACCATTTGTTTTGTTGCCACTCCATCTTGATTTCATGGGCACAAACATAATCCAGAAGCTTTAGGCAGCTGGCTAAGGCTGCCCCTGTGTGCCCCAGACCCCATGCCCACACCAGCTCTGTGGCTGGTCCCCGAACTCCCCTTGGTGCATGTCCCCTTTAACTATAGCTCAAGCCTCTG